TCAGCGGTATAAACACTGGTGCAATAAGCCACAAAGTGGCACGTATGAGAGGACGAGATAAAGCATCCTACTTCAGAGTCGACTGGCTGAAGGAAACTTTCACGTCCCCTGCACTTTTCCCTCGCGTGAAAACGTCGATATTAATGCGCACTCTCTCTCCTCGGACTTTTAATCATGTACGAAGTGACCGGATTCAAATGAAGACGCGTACAACAGAGCACCTCAGAGAGGGGTCTAATTTAGCCCCCAGCGAGAGGTGGCGTGTTGGTCCGTGGGTTAGGCTGTTGTAATTCTGCTCAGAAGATTGTTGGTTCAAATCCTACCATCATTCCCCTTTTGGGCTTTTCAGTCCTTAACCCCAATTACGTCGGGGACTGGAGTTGCAAATGTATGTTGCCTTAGATAAAAGCAACTGCTAAACAATCATTATGAAAAACCGGACTTTATTGCATTCTAACTTGCCATTTATAGCATGGCTTTTTATTTCAAAGGTGCGCACTGTGGTGCATGCATCGGAATGAAATAAACCAACAAAGAAGTCAATTAAAATCCAAGCTGAACCGTTTTCCCGGGGTAATGATTTACACTCCTACTGCGTTTAAATTGTTTGTTATTCAACCATTTCTGCGACCAGTTCATCATTTATAAATGTGTGTGATTCATAAATAGGATTTAAACATGTTTTTAATAATTACAACTGAATTCATTTTATAGTTGTATAGCTTCCCACTGGCTTAAGTATTTGCGCAGACTGGTAAGGTCAGCTTGGTTAATATATGTGGAATCGGATGCAACCGCTTTGAGGAAGTTTTATTTTTTCGGCTTTCGTCTGAAATCCCGTCCTGCCGTCTTTTCCGAACCAGACTGAAGTTTCCTTCGGCAGGTTCCTTGGGGTAAATAATGAAATACTCCGAGAAAAGATCCGTTAAAGAGAAGGAAGATCGGCAATAAGAGGGGTTTATATGCGGAGCAGAAGAACAAACAGAAGCGGGTGCTGTGAACGCAGACACCGCGCGGCAGCCGCTGGCAAATCTGACGCGACCGGTTTACGACGCAAATAAAATTCTTTTGTACTTTAGGAAACGTGGATTAAAAGTAAAGAATTGCCCGGGTGAAACCAGAGACACGTGCCTGCAGCCCGCTGGCTAGTGATTTCCATTTAAACACTCTTTCTATTCCATTAAAGCTTATTTTCTTTTGCTTTTATTGACAGGGCTGTCGGCACCGAGCATTTCACCCCCAAATCATTTGCGTTATGTGCTTGGTGATGATGGAGAAGTAACATACATTTAAGGACAATAAATAGGGACAAATGATATTTCACTAGACATGTATTTTATTTTTTACGATGGGCAAATCGTACCATCTGATATCAATAAGAAAATCAAAATGACTATTTAAATGTATAGCATAGCATTTGTACATTTATATAGGCCTATTGAACAATTTAATAATTTCACAACAGTCAGGATCACAAACCTCCTACTATAGTAGGCCTACCTGCATTTCTGCCCAGTGTACCTGTACCTGCATTTCTGCCCAGTGTACCTGTACCTGCATTTCTGCGCATTGTACCTGTATTTCTTCCCAGTGTACCTGTATTGCTGCCTAGTGAACCCTTACTTTGGTCCTTTGTACCAATATTTCTGCCCATTATACCTGTATATCTGTCCTATGCACCTGTACCTCTTACCATTATACCTGTACTTCTGTCCACTGTGCCTGTGTTTCTGCCCATTGTACCTGTAGTTCTACCCATTGTACCTGTAGTTCTACCCATTGTACCTCTATCTGTACTTCCTTCACTTCATTATGGCCCATGTGGGATGCTGACTGAATCTGACACAGAATCTCAATGCCTGTTTTGCATAATAGTGCCTATATTATATACATGTAGGCAGAGCCGTTGGTCCCGCTGAAATCCCAGTGAAATAACGCACGGCTCCTACTTCAAAGCTCTCCCACTAACTCCATTCAAAGTGATTCCTTCACTAACAGGAAGATCGTGGGGAGAAGGTGGACGCCGTTTGATCCAGCCCTCTGTGCGAGGTCCCGGCAGCTGCATACCACTGACAAATGAGCCTGAACGCCTTTACTGTAGGGAGCATGAAGCTCTCACAGCTACACGAATGTGTAGAGCTGCCAGATCCTGGGCCAGTCGGGCTTGTATGCTCTGTATTACTCTCCTGCTCAATCTTTGGGAAGAGATACTAATCTTTGACACATAGCCTCCTGTTAAATTTCCATCCATCCATCCATCCATCCTCTCTTACCACTTATGCTATTCAGCGTCATAGGGGGGTCTGGAGCCTATGGGCTCAAAGCAGGGAACAAGGCAGGATGGGGCACCAGCCAATCACAGGACACATTCACACACCATTCACAATTTAGCAACTCCAATTAATCTCAGCCTGTTTTTGGACTGTGGGGAGTCCCTGGGGGAAAAAAAACCCCACAGAAACACAGGGAGAACCACTGCACCCCCATACCACCCAGTGTGAGGCAACAGTGCTAACCACTGCACCCCCATATCACCCGGTGTGAGGCAACAGTGCTAACCACTGCACCCCCATACCACCCGGTGTGAGGCGACAGTGCTAGCCACTGCACCTCCATACCACCCGGTGTGAGGCAACAGTGCTAACCACTGCACCCCCATACCACCCGGTGTGAGGCGACAGTGCTAGCCACTGCACCCCCATACCACCCGGTGTGAGGCGACAGTGCTAGCCACTGCACCCCCATACCACCCAGAGTCACCTATATTTTTTTATTTCTTGCCAATTTTTAATGTTATATAAAACAATACTAAGCTATGAACTAAATAAAGTGATATATTTTGACAGCAACTGTACTTATATATAAATCAAACTAGAGGAAAAAGTAACTCTAAAATAATGTATCACAGTTGTTCATGGGCATGACAATTATTTTAAATATAATCCAATTAATGTCAGTCTACCTTGGCGTACCAGGTTGCGAAGCTTTGCATTGCAAAGGAACCATGTGTCGGTTTCCAGTGATTCCAGTGATTTCCAGTGAGGGTATCTGGAGGAGGATAAACACACATGTCAACTAAACTGTCAGCTGTCGCTGCTATGAAAGACAGAACTGACAACAGCTACTGACCGATTACAGATCAAATATTCATAAAACAACTGGACGACTTCATTCGCTTACCAAATGACAGCTCGCGCGTTGTAAACAAGCTCAATGTTCTTCAGCGTTCATTGGGACAGATCAAGAAGCGAAAGCTATAGATCATCAAAGCTAGATAGCATAGTATTTACAGGTAATTGTGCGCTAGTTTTACATTTGGAGCCATATGTTAAGACCCATAATAGGATAAAGAGCTTTTTGAACATACACACTAAAGCATATCATTTACCTTTAAACGAATGAAGTTACTACTAAACTACTAAATGTGTTTCAAGGTGTTTTCTACTCAGAGGTTATACAATCAGGCTTGAAACTGCCTAGGTAGAGTCAGAGCTAAGATTACGCTAGGGTTGTGCTTAGTGTAATGTCAGAGTTAGGATTTTCACCTGTATTTTATTCTACAATTATATTAGATGAAATTTAAGAAAATGTCCACTAGTTACATAATGAAAAGCTTTCATCAGAAGTGAAGTTCTCCACTGGTATTCAATGAGGTAATGATTCATAATAATTCCACGTGAAATGTTTGATTGTGAATTCTTTTTGTATGCTAATAACCTGATTCGAACATGAAAAGCACTGTGTGGTATCCAGCATCGAATGTCACTGCTTTTCTATTTATTTAAGGCAAAAAAAAAGAAAGGTAATTACACCTATATTATCTGGTTACCATGGAAACAGTGTTCCGCAAGAAACTTTGGGCACAAGAGCTCAAAAGGAGTCAAAATAAGAAAAACGTTCTAATAATCAATAACAGTCTGTCAAAGATCATCTTTAAGTCCTTACATTTGTAAGACACGTTGCATTATTTCTTTCTCATTATTTTCAATATTGCATTTCTTTACAAACTCAAAAAGTTTGCGCAAGTCAGCCCTAAAAATGTTGCACTGTTAAATTTAAATGTGAACTAAGTTTTATATGGACAAAAAGAGACAGTTTCGACTAGAAGAACTGCTTTGAACTATTACTGTACAGTGATCCATCCATCCATCAATCCATCACCGCTTGTCCATAGCAAGCCTGGAGACTGTCCCAGGAAGCAGGGGGAAGGAGGCAGGAGAGCCTGACAGGATGCTGGTCCGTTGCAAGGCGTTCACCTACACGCACACACTGGCTATCAGCTTCAGAGATGCCAGTTCGCTATCAAAATGGTTTTGGAGTGTGGAGCGTCGCTAGAGACTCTGGGCCTCATGGAAGCATGTTGGGCCCCCAACCCAGACCAATCCACTTATGTTAATGTATAGGGCCCCGATCACTCAGGGGCCCCTGGCATTGTTCTAACCACCCCCCATGGCATTCCTGTTTATATGCACACAGTGTCAAGTATGCTGCCTTCAGTGCATTATGGGGTATGTAGTACGAGAACAGAAGAGAACTACACATTAATCGCAAAGGTGAGATTGCTGTAACATTTTGGGACACATAAAACGATCGATTAAATATAACTACAGTACAGAACACCTGGAAGTTCTTCACGTGCTCTGAAGACGAACGGTCATCCGCGGTCACCTGCGGTCATCTGCCCACAAAGAATATTACTTATGGATAAGAAAGCAAAATCCTGGTTCAATAAATAAATGAAATTTTCACAACTGAGGGGGATTAAGACATGAATGTTTATGAAAGGTGACTCATCATAGGGGCATCAAAAATGAGCACTGGGTTAAGCAAGGTGTACAGAGAACGGAATATCCCAAACTTATCAACGGACTGGAAATTCAAGTCAAAACCGAAAGTAGTAGCACGTGCACACAGCTACTAGAAGACATCCTTAACATTTACTTCTCGCGGTGTGCAGCTCAATGTGTTATGAGCTATGATAATTAATTTGAACTGGTTATACCAGAATGCAGCTGAAATGTCTTGGGGTATTAGATGGACTCTGCAGTAATCAATGTCAGTATCCTGAGGAGAGAAAAAAAAATTGAGTAAGAATACATCAGTATCCAGGATGGGGGGGGGGGGTATTTTAAAATGTAGCTGAGCTGAATAACTATGAAGCGATAAAACAACAAACTCTCACTGTGATTGTGAGCAGAACCACGGATTGACAAGTGAAAGGTTAATTTATTTGGGGATTGGCCAGGGAGAGAGCCAGAACCAGGAACATGTAAAAATACAGGAGCCATTTTGTAGGGGGGAGGGGCAAACCAGCATACAGTTACTGAAGGCAGATGGTTTTCGACTGGGCTTTGGGTTACTCAGGGTAGGTTGACAGATAGGTGGGCTTCACCAACACGGCTCCAGTGGGTGTGTACGCCGTGCAAATATGCACCCACAGGCTATGTTTTTAAGGTAACTGATAATTATTCCACGCAGGTCAGACTTGCCAAAATTCTGATGAAAAGCAGCATGTAATTTGTCTGGTTTTTTCCTGCTTTTTCTTTCTTCCTTCCTCAGTATGTGTGCGCAGTAACTTAGCTGAACTAAAAAGTGAACACAGCTCTGCCTTTTAAAATTCTATGTTTCTCAAGTTGTGGCAGTCTATCGGGGTGGGGGGGGCGCTACCTTTGCTGGAAAAGACTTCCATAAAACCACATTACATTTGTAAACAAAGACAGCAAAAGACGAAGCCTGAGTTTCTTAGTCGTAGCCCAGTTTACACAACTGAACAGTGAAACAGTTTAGCTCTGTGGATTAGGACTTTGTGCCCAGTGATCGGAAGTTTGTTGGTTCAAATCTCATACCCACCATTTGGCCCCTGAGCAAGGCCCTTTGCTCTCAAGAGCTCCAGAGAGTAGCTGACCCTGTTTTCTCAGTAGTACATTACTTATTCAGCAGGAAATTTCATCCAAAGCAAATTTTTTCCCCCCTGAATTTTAATTTCATCGCATAGCCCCGTGAACACTGCGAAAATGGCCGTCAGGCAGATAAATGAATGTAAATATGTTTAACGCATCTGTCACTTGGGGACACTTAGAGAAGATCAGAAAATACAACTTCAATGCAGCACATGCAACTCTCCGCAGGACTCCGGGAGTTACTGACCCCGGGGACAACTCCTTACCACCTGCAAACAGGCGGACGTGTCGACGAAGCCTTCTGTACACATTTGAAGTTCTACGTTGTCCACAAAGACTTCTACACATGTTTGAACTCCTGCGTTGTAAATATTCAGCTCTTTGTTTTCCTGTGTGTCTTGGATCACTGTACCCTTTTTTCTTCACCTGTGATTTTCATCACTCTAGAACTTTTGTCAGTCGTCTCTATGCCTTATGGGTAATGCTATCAGTGGTTATGACGATAGTATTGGTATACAAATATATGCATGCATAAAATGAATGGATAGAGACGCTACTATGTCAAATTGCAATCGAGGAGGTACGTGGAAATCACAAATGTTTCAGCAGAAAGTCTGATCGTCGAGGTTGAAACAATTCATTCCCCAGAGCAACCCTGTAATTGTGTGGTTTAAACCGCAGCCATAAGCTCGACGGGGTTCCCGGGATGCACAATAACTTCCTTATCGCGCCTCGACAACAATTATTCTCCTCCTGGGAAGTACACAGCATTCATTTCCCTGTCAGATCTTGAAGACCCGAGAAAAGACATAAGAACTCATCAACAGAATGACGGTAAGAACCCGCCGCGCGAAGGTCACGTGGGACGCCTGTTGTAAATACCGGTTCCGCCACAGAGGACCTTTGCAGTCTAATATTGGAAAGGAATTGCCAATTAAGGAACTGTATGAAATGCAGTGGTTATGCAATGGTCCCTGATAGTCTGCACCTGGAGATATTTGAAGAAAAGACATAATCATGTGCAAAGAAAGTTTCTGTTCTGTATATTAAAAAAATATATTTATTTATTTAATCAGGATAAAGTGAGCAGACCAGTGATTACATTTAAGAATAAGCCATGTATTAAACCCAACGCGTGGCACCAGAATATGTACAAAACCTTGACAGAACGTGAAACTGAATTGCGGGTCGTTCTGACACGATTTTCATGCACAAAATATTAAATAATCGCACCCTCGGATTGTGCCGTATTTATCTCGGAGAAAAGGTTGGGTACACCATGACAGGTGACTGTAAGCAGATATTGAAAAGGTTTTTTGTTATTTTGTAAACATCAGTAGATGAAATCATATTGGAGACCTTTGCTTTTTCCAAGTAACGTTGAAGCAGCACCGAGTCTGTCTCTATATATGTGAGTGCACCTGGAGTGCACCGTAGTGTCTTTGAACTCCCGTATGCAAACTTCACCGCCACCCCCAATAGTGAGCTTCACCGCTGGCGCCCCCTGACTGAGACAAAGTTAAATTAGCTTACTAAGTTGCCAGTTGGCGCCCATTCGGAAGATGGCGAAAGGTTGACCAGCACTGCTCCCCCACCCCCCCCCCCCAAAAAAAAGGACAGTCGAAAAATAGCAAAGAATGTTTGGGAATGTTTTGTGGCTAAAGTAACACAGATGCTGGATATTGACTTAATCTTGTCAACACCTGCAGACAGTTTTTAATTACATATATAATTTTATTTATTCCCAGGAGGGCTCCTTCATAGTCGCTGGATTTTGAGACGATTTCCCCCCCAGATTTTCTTCCACACTATCTGCTCTCAGTTGCTCCCTTCCTTCCCCCTGCCCAGGCAGCACACTGGTCAAACCCCTGGATTTACTACAGTAAAGCTGATGGTAGTGGCTGTAGGACTCTTGCCACTGTATCCCAGTGAAAGCTTTTCGCTGAATGTTTAAACATTCTTAAGCAAATAATATAACAAAATAATACGATGACCGACACAACGTCAATAAAAGTGATGCGTAGTGATATTGTAATTCTGGTGAGCAGTGCATTGTGGGATAATCGTTGGAGGATAATTGACTGACTCCAAATGAGAGCTGTGTACACAGGGTGCCCCCACCGCGATGGACTCTGCCCAGCAGCTATGGGGACTAAATCGATGACGCGTGTCATCGAGCGCCTGCCCACCTTGCGTCGCCATGGGTACTTCACACTCTCCATGCGTGCCCCAGGCTAAAGTGGGCATCCGCACACTGCACTTGCATCCCTCGCCCTGTAGGGGTCACCCAAGAGCTGGATTCGCTCTCATTTGAGTCAGGAAGTCGTTAAACTTTGCAATGCATTTTGCCGCATTGGCTAAATCAAGAATCATCTATTCCTCGTAATCATATTTCACTATTTACGAAATACGCATCAGTTCTTACAAAAATATATATAATATTACGTTTGAGACATAGGAGATCGTGTTCTGCACACTGTTCTTACACTTTCCCCATTTGTCATTTAAATCAGGAACGGTCCAAGGACGATCAACCCATCTGTGTCATTTAATTATAGGCTTCTGAAACAATCCTTTTTCTCCCCCGTCCGTCTCCCTGAGCTGATAAACGCAAGCCTGCCGAACAATGCCCACGAGCTGCAGTGCCCATTGTTTGCCTCTCTCGGCAGAGGAACAAACAGATATGCCGCCAATTAGCTGGGGAAATCGTATACCTTAATGGCAAACAGCAGAACCGTACCTTTAATCGCAAATGTACTGAAACAGTGTATGGTGAGCCCGCGGAATCTGGAACAGCACGATTCAAGCCTAAAAACATTCACTTATTATCTGAGGCAGTCTTATGTTCTTTCTTTTTTTACTGTCACAGTGTCATTTAGAATGTACCGGGGATTCTGGAATTTACAGCAAATTAAATCACAGTCCCTTCCACGTGCGACGGCTGATTCCGGTCTCCTCCTCATTACTTTCCATGCTGTACTTCCTTTCATTTACATGGGAACTGGCTCAGAGTTTTAATTCGATATTGCTGCTGTAAAGACACCTTTCAGAAGGCTTTTTTTGCGGGGGGGGGATTTCACAGCTGAGGCATCACCGTGACTGTGGCATGTATTTTAGTCGTGTTAATACAGGCCCTCCAGCCATTGGCTGCTTCCCCAACCATGACACTCGTTTGTACAGCTAAAACAGCCGCAAATGCGGCTTCATCATTCCTCACATTATTCCGGGGGAAAGGTATTTTCGTAAATAACCTTTCGCTTCAGCCCCTATAGTAACATTTCACGGCCTGTCTTACTTCCCAGGAGATACGGAGAAGACCTGGCCCTCAGCAAATTGCTGCAAGAGCAATAAATAGAATGTGTGATGTCAAAATGAGGCATCGGGCAGCAGTATGGCAAATAATACACATGCAATGCAGATAATGTACATGTATGGATCAGGACATACAATCAGGCAAGACCATTTCTGCGGGGGCGGCTGGGGAAATTCTTAGGTTGGTGGGCAGCACCACAAATTTATCTGGGCCCCCCAAAGTTTGGGCGAAGTGGCGGTTCTGAGGCTAGGAATCTGTGCCAGCAGGTTGCTGGTTCAAATCCCCATTAATGCCCAGAGTGATTCTACTCCGTTGGGCCCTTGAGCAAGGCCCTTAACCTGCAATTGCTTCATCCTGGGTATGACGTTAATCTACATCCAGCCCTGCAAGCAGGTGCTCCAACTTACAGGGGAAGCTTGGGGGTTGGTGGCAGGATTGGCATTCCGGCATACTGGAAAAAAACCTCACACTGGTCCATTCGGACTAGTGTGGTGCTGTAATCAGTGAATGCTCCTCACCTACGTACCCGAAAGTTTGGGGCCCCCTGTTGGCCAGAAATAGGCACTACACTGGGGGGGGTGCAGCTCCAGTGCCTTATTGAATGGGGCCCAAGAAACAACTACCATCTTAGTCTGATCTGATCTGATCTTGCGTGTAACTAGGAAAGGATGACTAGATAATGCACGGCTTCATTTCACAGTACTGTCTCTCTCATCCATATGCACTGAACCTGTTCATGCTAAAACAGAAATGGCTTTTAATGTAAAGATTTATAGATGGAGTAGCAGCAAGTCTTCAGCATTTATCCGATCGTTTTCTTTCAGCTGGCTGTGGATTGTGCTTTCCGGAAGAAAATACCAAGAAGACTTATTTGAAAACAAAGCATCCTTGGTGTGAGGCAGGCAAAGGGATTTTTTTATTTTTATTTTTTTTGGGGGGGGGGGGGGGGGTTGCTTGGAGGAACAATCAGAGCTAAAGTATCCTTTGTGGGATGGTACAGATGTACCCAGTCATTGCCGCTCAGTGGGAATCGTTTTTGGCTTTGAGATGACCTGTTATGTTCTGCGTTTTCTGCTTATGAAGAGCCCAGGTTTGAGTCAGGCTGCTGCAAGCTGTCAGTCACCTCCTGGCTTTTGGCTGAGCCAATCAGTGACTGGCGGAGTGCAGTAATCCCACCCACTGTAGCATCAAAAGCCTCATTCCTTACATTATGGGTCAGTGAAGAGTCATCTGCTTTATTTGACTGCCGCTATTCACATGTTTATTTGGGAATGGATTTCCTGTCTGCATAAGTATTCAGGAGATCTCATCACAGAGACAATAAAAAGGTCATTAAGGGTAATTTACACTTCTTTTAACATTAGCTAACTGCTCAGATTTATCACAACCTGGCTGATGAATAGCAACACTCCTCACTGGAATTAGGCCAAGGGTCCCTGTGGGACATAATGCCAATTCCACATGACAACTCATGAATAAATTAAGATCAATATTAATAACACATGACAGAAGCAAGGAATTAATATAAACTCACAGAAAAAGAAGCTTGCAGTTACATTAGTGCCCCCTATCGGCGAGAGGATACATTCCAAGACTCCGAGAGGGCGGTAACCGCGGATAATCGCGAACACGATATATAGCTTGTTTTACGTGTACATATGTACCTATGGTAAAGTTTAATTTACAAATTCCACACAATAATTTATAATCAACATCTAATAATAAAGTAAAACAATTATAATAATATACTGCAATAAAAGTAAAAAACGCGATACCCGGGACTGTCGGTCTAATTACCGAGGGCTGCTTAGTGACTAGCCGGCCCAGCGTGGGAACGCAGCGCATAGCGATGATCCACTTCATCACGCTGCTCAGAACGGCGTACGATTTAAAACCTATGAATTTGAGGACATTCAATGCACATCTTTAGTGAGACTTGGCTGTTTTTTCCTCCTTTTCCTTCCTCCAGAAACTTACAAGGTATTTCAACAAAGGAGGCTATTCATACAAACTTTCCAGACAAATTACTGACACTGACTATGTCCTTAAAGCTACCTGTACAGTGAGCTCAGCTCTCACTGCACACCTCACTAGAGAAAGATTTTATAGCCAGCTGTTAAGAGTGCTAGTTCCCTCACCTGGAGCCAACCATCATCAAAAAAATCAATTAAGAAAAGTAAAAAAAGATTCCAATCCCTATGACAAGATTATTTTATAAATAGCAAAACACTTTGACAATAGTTTTCAAAATAAGACACAGTGAAACACGCTACATGGATTTTTTAAGCTTTAACGCTACCCTCCCCCCCATCATGTCCTGATGGTACAATCTCATCTCATTGGTGGAAGAGTGGACTCTATGAAAGTGTGAATGAGGTAGACTGATAACACTTTACTTGAGGGAGCGCAAATAATGTAGTAGTCCACTATTACTTAATGTATTAATTAACCAGAATCTAAGTGTTAGTTACATACTGATCCCTTGCCCGTTCATCATTAATTAGTCATAACCATTCGTTTATTTCATGCAGTTACTATATTTGTTCATGATTTGTACTGAGTTACTAAGTTACTTGTGCCGCCTCAAGTAAAGTGTTTTATCGACGCCGCAGGGTGAGCATGGATGAATCTGTGAAAAGATGCATGGTACTTAATGACAATCCTATTCAAATCAGTCTCCTTACAACAGCAGGGGTGCATAATCTAACACGCGACATTTCCTCTGACAGGCTGAAGCAAACAAACAAACAAGTCAACAGTGAACAAGACGATGCCATTATACGAATGGCTGTACTCAGTCTCATTCATTAGGTAGACGGTTTGGCTCACGCTCAGGGAGGGATTGAACACAAATGATTCTGGAAAAGATTTCTAGGATCCCATGAACACAATTACCCTGCGGATTGAAGGTACATCTGGATCCATAAGTATCAGCCTATATATTGACAATTTTAATGAAGTTTAGCAGATCATAAATGTTGCATCACCAATATACACGTTAATTATAAGGTAATCAAAATCAAAAACAATTCTTTTGCGTGTTAGCCATTTGTGACGGAAACCTGCACAATCACATCACACATCATTACCCACGGATTGGAAGACATATTATGTTGACAGACTTCTCCATAACAAGATATGAACAAAACATGACAAAAACAATGTATAGTGATAAAAACTGAAGCCGTATTATCAGAGAGATGTCTGGTCTGTGTTTATATAGTGTGGTTTCATGCAGAAAACATGCATTAGTTCATTATTTGCTATGAAAACAAAACTATCAACATGGTAGATGAAGAGTAAAATATGTCGCAACATAAATTTGTCCTCAATGTGAACTAATTAGAAATTAAATAAAAACTCAATTAGGGGCGGAGCATTGATTTTAACATTTAAAGGTTAATGTGATTTCCAGTTATCTGCCCAGTGCTGGTCTGGGAGACTCAGAGGATGCAGAGCCAGGCAGGGAAGCATAAGAATGAGAACAGCTGTGCAAATACGCTAAACGCATACAGCGGGGGGGCTGAGGTTGGAGACGGGGCTGTTTTTGGTCCTACCCTGTCTGTAAATTTCTTAACTCCAAATTTTATTGCTTGTTTGACTAGTGAGCCACTCTTACTTGTACTACAAGATCTAGGCATAGTTTTTTTATCCTAAAGTCGTAAGACTGCTCAGCAGTTATTCATTTCGGGATTAGTGCTTTAGTGTCTCTATTATGTTCATACTGCCACTGTACTGCTTTGAATCTGTCATGAATCTTAACCAGTACAGCCACAATGACACTATATTGCTGTCCAGTTTCAATATACCACCCCTTGTGTCATGCCCAGCACACCTGCCCCCCCCCCCCGTCTCCTCCCTAATGTAGCCCCCATGAGCTTCTTGTTTTTAAATACCTGTTTGTGTCCTCTGCCCCAGTCCAGTCATTAATGTTGAACCTTCCCGTTGCCTGTGTCCTTCCCCATTTCCTGTTCTGTTTTGGATCCCTTGCAGTCCTGTTTGTTTCCAGACTTTATTCATTTAGTTCAATAAGCCCCTTTAGTTTCGCCACAACACCTGCCCTTGTGTCCTTCGTCCCCCAAGTTGTGACACCCTGTTTATTTTAGATTTACGGTTTATTTTATTTGTTTTTATTTTACTGTACTGTTGTGACCTTGTCATCTTTTCATTGGACTTGGTACCTTGTACTCTTGATGCATGACTATAAAACTTTGAATCTTGAATCTCAGTGTCGATAGACGTAACTCCTTGGAACGGCCACTCTTGACTTAGTGTAACACTCTGCCTGTCCTCTTACCATCGGTTGCGCATGGCTAGGAGCTACAGGGGCCTGATTAAGGGAAGGAGTCTCTTGTTTACCCACCGTGACCAATGACAACTCAAGCCCAGGTCTTATCAGCAGCCCAGCACATGGCTAATGGAGACCAGCTAGTCTTTCCTCAGCACCTACACATTTCTGACCTAATAGATGGCTGGATTCTCTCATTTTCTCAGGGCAAGGTGCATTATGGGATCGCCATGGCAATTATGGACCACGCCAATACGCAATGTATGTCCCTGAACAATGTTAAAAATCCAATAACTGCTCAAAATACATTTCCACATTACGCATGAAAACCATTTTAAAACTTTCACTTAAAAATACATTTTGGCTGCATATAAAGCGACAATACTGATCTGGTTATTTTAATGATATAACAAAGACCGAGATTTCAGGCTTCTCCGAAGCCTTATAAAGCAGAGGCATTTGTCGGTTTGTGATACCGCCCGGTGTGAGCGGTAACAGGCAGCGATCTCCGACGCTGCAAATGCAGAGACAGCATGGAGAACACGCAGGTCACAGACGAAATACAAACATGACGGCGAGAGCTGGGCGCGACTCAGGGCGCTGAACTGATCTACAGACAGATTGCGCTGTACCGCTCCGGCGACGTTCAATATTGAAGTGAGCAGCAGCCCTGCATTATCATGCTGAGATGGGGATTCTCTCACCGTGTCCGTAATTTACCAGTGTAAATATCGCCTTATTTCTGCTGAGCTCTCCATGAATATACATCCTTTCCCACCCCCCTATACGCAATATTAGGAGCGCTAGTATTCTTTTATCCCTTTTCCCAGTGCTGGTCAACCCTTTAGGCGTTTAGACGGCCACTTGGGGCGCCACCTACCGTGAGTGCCCCGATTTAAACCGCTGGCACCACGCTGCCGTGTTCAGCACCAGTGAGCAAGCTTGTCTATACGCCTCTTTGGCTTTGAATGGTATGGTTCTTACCCAGGGTTCCCAACTCACGCATCTAGCGTTTGCTGTCAGACTCCAACGCTCACGCAAGAAATCCCACAACAAATCTGTATTATTCCATTATAAAACTAAAATTAGCTACATCAAGGGTAGTTAGCAAACTCTATAGACTATATATATTTGTTAAGTAAAAAAAAAAAAAGCCTCTTACATACTGTACGTGTAAATGCGTGTGCAGACTTGTCTCGAATTGTAAATCTCACTTCAGCCAGCTGGCCAAATTAGTGGCAGCACTGTCTTACCTAGAGGGTTGTGGGCTCGATTCCCCCATGTTCATGTGGACGTTCTCTGGTGACTCCGCCTTCTTCCTACGGCCCAGAGAAATTCAATTCGGATGAACCTCTATATCTGAAATTGTCCATGTGTTTGCGTGCGCATGCGGCGCGCGCTGCAGAAACAGATGGGTACGTACATCATTTACTCGACGGCGCAGGCAGATGGATGTCAGTATGGCTGCACCCAAGCTTCGCAGCAGTCAAGGTAAACATAAACTCCATTAAGGCCATTTTCCCTGGAAAAGGAAACAATATATTAATTAATCCTGGTTTTAATTAAGTCAGAAATAGACTGGATGCATCCCACTGTGGCGTATGATTGCACAGATCCCGTTAGGGAAACAGCATCTCACAATAACAACAGTAGGCTTACATCAGTATACGTAGGATGGATCAGGCCTACATCAGGAGGAATACATCAGTTTTTTTTTTTTTAGTCTATTCTGGAATTTCAAGTTACAGCAAAATGTCAACACCCTACTAGAACGCACTCTACTAACGAACATCCAATTGATTAATTGGATTTACCTCCGATAGAAACAGGAAGTGAAGGTGAGACATCTCATAAAAACAGATTAAATGCTTTAAAAAAAAAAATTCTGCCCAGCTATATGTTTGCGTTGATTGATAGCTGAACACAATCACGCAACAATACAATTTTTTCCTGGCTGGCTGTGGCATTGAAATTAAGCTCTATTCATCATGTTTAGGTAAACTGTAATTTACATTACGCCTGTTTAAATACCAATCACACGGGCGTGGAATCAAATTGCCTTTGAAGACGAGGGCTGCAGTGCGTCGGAGCCGATCCACAGCCTAACAAACCAATTTCACGAATAGCACGCATCAATAAAAACACTTTCGTCTGCAGGCAAATGTTTCATGGCAATTTTCGGTTATTTATCTCTCATCAGATTAAATTGTCCTCTAATTGCCATAACATCTGAAGCACCTAGAAAGGGATTTTTACATTTTTTTTGTAATATGTGGAGTGCTTTATGGCAGTGACCCAGACAGTCTATGGATGATTAATTAACTTAATTGGGCTAAACCGAGATTGCGGGTTTATTCAAATCAATCATCGGCGCATCACTAATTGCTGTCGTGTAACGATTAACGATCAGGGAATTACCTGCAGCTCTAGTGTCCCTAATCCCCCATGGTAAATACCACAAGCGTGAGAACTCTATGCCAGCTGTATACTGCAGTAGGAAACATGAGTGCGTTATAGTTGTTTTAAGGTGTTTACATCAAAGCCTCTTCTGGCTTGCAGTTTGTACACCCGGGGTGTGTTACGCAAGCGAAGCAGCTGGAGGACTTTGTCTGAAAGGTACAGGAAGTCTATTCTGCTTCTCCTGAGCTAGAAATCTTTGTTGTGCTGAGAGAGGTTCTTCAACTAACCCTGAAGCTCAGCGCCGGCTCGGTCAGATATTTATATAAATATCTACGCTCTTAATCAGTATGTGATGGGAAATATGCTTGGGGGAGGGGCTGTCCATGGGATATGCCTGGGGGTGATGTCTCGTAATGCCCCGTGAACGTTTATCCTTGAGTCCAGTGCTTGTTTACACGAGTGCTTCTTTGCTTGTTGCCCCCAATCGCTCACTTAACGCATGTTTTGCTGTCAATGTCTGGTCCCTGCCTGAAATGTGTATCCCCCCCCCCTCCTTCCTAGAAGACTGCACACATAGCTGTCTGTCTAATTGGCTTCACCCTTTCCCATCCTTTCCTTGAACTCCTTGTGCTACATGGTTCTGAATAGGATCTCAGCTGGCTTTCTCAGTTTAATGGCTGGCATGATCCTCAGACTACAGACACGTGATGATCTAAGCAGACCAGAACACGCACACGAGATCCAGGTCTCCGTATACGTCTATGCTTAGATCAGTTATAATAACATTTTCCATTTACGAAGTAGATGTATTTATCTACCGACATAGAATTCCGAAAGCAGGGTCAGACAGTCCCTGGAGCAATTGGGGCACTGGGTCCTTGCTCATGGATTCAACAATAAAACCATTCTGCTGACCCTGGGATTTGAACCAGCGACTTTCTAAGCATGTATATGACGTCCTAAACCACTGAGTCACGCGCTGTCCCCACGACAAAATTATGGCAACATTCCAAAAGAGTCAGTGACGTACTGTACTACATTTAGCCATGAAACATCGAGAGCGATATTTGTGTTTGATTTGCTTCCCATAGTTCTACTCCGAAAGTGGGGCATTTGTTTACAGTAGATGAGGAAATTATATGCAGCACGATCCAGCGCCCCTGAGATTTTATTTTCATTACGTGCGAATGCCGATGCACGCTCTTCCGATTAGCCGAAGCCACGTACATTCCTCCGCTCGTTAACTGTCGGACAGCAGGAGCCGGTACGCTGGTTTAATAACCCGTTCAGAGACGCGGGAGATCGATCTCCAGCGTATTTCTCACTTAAAAATTCAGGGTATTATCGTATTTAACGTACCCTGTTCCCTAAGAGGTTTCAGCGTATTGCAGATGTGGTTAGGGTGGCTGCTTTCTCCAGGATAGCTGGGGTTTGAGTCCCACCCGGTGTCACTGCAGGGATGCCTAAACATGGATGGATGGACTTCACATCCATTTGAAAGACCGATATAAAGTTGATCAGATTCATTTATGGGAGCCTGAAATGGATAATATTTAGAAAACACTGTGGAGCCCATTGAATTCCATCCCTCATGGAGATGATTCCAGAATCACATCGCAGGGAACAACCTTGGACAGGATGCTAGTCCACTATCTATAGAACAGATCAACTTCACATGAAAATTCTTTACAAATAAAATATATCCAAAGCTCATGGGAGTGTTACATAAAAATATTCTGGGGGTAGAACAAAAATGATTGGTCCAGAAAAATAACCAATCACATTGTAGAAGAGGTGGGTCCAAGATATCTACTTGCTTGGCCACACTTCCTACAATCTGGTTATCTCTCCGAACAAATCATTTTTGTTCTGCCCCCAGAATATTTTTGTGTAAGTATAAGTCCCATGAACATATTCAAAGAGCAAAAAAACCTCTATAGCATATTTGTTGTTTTTTTTAAATTCCTGGTTATTGATTTCATGCAAGTTCTTTATGTGCATGTTTTAAAAACAATAAAACAAGCAAACGCAGACTGAGCTGTTTCAGGGAGAGCAGCTCCCCCCACAGCTAAGGAAAGGCTGATGTTCTCTGATGTCGCCTCCACGCCCACCTTCACCTTCGCATCGTCTGCTTCACAGTTAACAGAAGGATCGGTGCTGTCGTTCAGGCCAGCTGGGAAGGCTATCCCAGCACCAACGGTGTGGGAACGTGAGCTGCAGCGGTCTGCGGAGCAGCCTGACGAATCGACGTTTGCGCACGTGCCGACAGATCAACGAGCCTGGCGTTCAGAACATCCTCGTCTAAGAGTAAATGGTCTTGGCAGGTCAGTAATACAGATGGGGCCTTTTTCTTGCTAAGGTGTTGGTTTGCATCCTGGGAAATTGTGCGAATCCTGCGCTCCCCGGCGAGATGGGCTGGCCCTCCTAGCCGAAGGGTCACAAGACACCAGCGAGTGGCTTGTGGAGCTCAGACTATCCATCATCCATGGGTCTCCACATAAGCAGACTGGATAAACCTCTTACAATAGGGGGTCATGCCTGGAAGTTACAGAAAAAGTTACAACATTTGCATATTCAGCACGCACTTTAAAGCAATGTATTTTTTTTTTTAAAGAGAAGGTAGGATGAGACGGTCCCTGAAGCAATTGGGGTTAAGAGTCTTGTAAGGGCCCAATGCTGACATCACTGCTGAGAGTGGGATTTGAACCAATGACCTTCTGATGACAGATACAGTGCCTTGACCCACTGAGGCGCAACCCCAACTCCCTTACTGCTGGGCTGAACGACTCCATGCCTAGGCATCCTCTAGAATCCAGATTCGAAGGGGCTGCCGGTTTTTAACTGGCAGTGACATCTGCTGCAGCTGTCACCGTGACGCAAAAGTGCTTGGTAATCAGAAATCACGTAGTTAAGACCAGTCGGTTACGGAGATGCTGATCGACAAGGTAAACTCAGCAGGAATGAAGTGTTCCTCTCCTGTGTAAAAACACACACGCACAAACACACGAACTCTGCTTTTCTTGTAAAAATTCCATCGCATCTCGAGGGAAATGCTTCTGCCAGAGATGGATCATTGCACATTCTAAACAGTCGTGATTATTTAAATGGATAAATAATGAGATTTTATGTATGACAGACTGCGAAGCCAATAAACTGCCCCCCCCCCCTGCAAAACCCATAATTCCTAGCATCTTTGAATCTCTGCCAGCCACATGAGACGCATTGATATATATATATATTTTTTTTGTTAGAAATGTTTTGCCTCGTTTTTAGTTTGAGGAAATACTTTTAACAATTTATAACAACAAAAAACGTGGCACATAACCCAGAGCTATTCTCAGCGTGCTCTCTGTTAACGCATCGCCTGCTTATCTCAAAATATCTCACCTATAATCACTCTTAATTTCTTCGGTAATTTAATTTAAACGATCAGATTGGCAGCTCAGGCTGGTTACTAAATACCAATTAATCAACTCTTTCCTAAGGGAAACGACCTTTGACCTCCACTGGTGACCTTTAACCTTACATCAATGATCCCAGTGTGTCATTCCGACTAATCTTAACATGCAAGAACAGATACGGAACTTTCTTCTTCAAGCATTCATGGTGGGTGCTGAACTCTGTCTGTGATGTCATTACAAAGACTCTTCTTATTACAGTATTTCCATGGTAACACTGAAAGATTGACATTTAATTTATTTAGCAGATGTTTTGATACAAAGTGACATACATTTTTTTTAATTTTTTTTTTTGAGCGAGAGAGCAGCATCAGACAATTCCCGGAGCATTTGGAGGTTAGGGGACCAGCTCTGGACATTGCGAGCAGAGGAACTGTTGGTTCCAACCACAGCATCCTAGCCCACTGTGCCACACGCGTCCCGACCTTTCACCTCCGCCCTCCGGTAGCGTCTTCACAGGAAGTTGCTTAGCAACTAATAACACAGAAAACCAGGCCCACAATAAAAAATTTGTCTCAGGGTTAAATATTCAACCTTCCCTATTACTAATACCAGCAATTTTTACCCCCCAGAGAACTGCAAATGTATAAAAGTTAATAAGGCACATGTATTCTAATGTTCAGGTCTGTCGTATAAATTTACATGAATCTTATTTTATAATTAAGATACATGATGAAGCATGCCAGCACTGATCTACAGGGAATCTCACAGCAAACATCCAGGTTTGTGTTTCGGAATCGCAGTATATGGACCGTAGTCCGTATCACACATTGCCGACATGCCACCCAAAAATGCTTTAATCTTCTCATTTCATCTGACCAGCTAAGTCAATGAGATTCTTGTCACAGGGGCCATTAAAACGATCTGATTCACCCATGCCAAACTGGTTAACATAATCCGCCGGTTAAATGCAAAGACAGACCAAGGGTAGGAGTGCAATTTGCATTTTATTTACGGCGTGACGTTCGTCTCGTCAAATGTGTCCGTCGCCATTCTGCCATCTTCAGCTTTTTACTGCCTTGAAAAATAATAATTATTCTGAGTACTGTGACTGATGCTGCGGGTTGATGAATATTGCCTTTCTTCATGCTGTTTCATTCTGACCTTGTCTGTTCCCTACCCAGGGGTGATTATAGAATTTACGGTGGAGGGGGCGGGACTTAAGAAATGATTCATACAGAAGGGCCAACCTTATTGGTGACTGACATGGGAGTTGGGGGCCAATCTGCTTTCAGCTGGGGCCAGGGTCCCTTTAGCCCCGCCTCTTTATACACCTGTAACCCTAAAAAAAGGGGAAGTACCTTCCCAATGATCTTGCTGACAAAGCATCTTTATGTTCTATTGTATGTGCACCATTTTTGCACTTATGTGTTATTCATACATATCACACACATTGTCTGAGAACACTTTCCATGGCTCTGGATGGCCGTCCCCGTCTAAGAAGACATAAAGTTAAATCAAATCCCAAAATCCTGTTCTCTTAAGCATTCTGATTAGTACATTAATCCCAAACCCGAATTTTACTCTGCAATGTACCGTGTTTGCAGCTTTACTCTGTACTGAACCCTACAAAATGTCAGAATTCAAAACCTGGTACAGATATTGAACTTATTCTCATAAAGGGATATCATTTAATTAAAGACATACATAATATGAATTTGCTAATGGTAAAACGGCATGAAATTGCAATCGGGTGATCATGTGACTCGTCATGATGGTGACATCACATCCTATGCCTCAGTAATTACATCACTGCCCCTAAACAGCCTCCTGAGAAATTTCTCACTTGTGAGAGACGTCCTGTCTCAAACCAGAGCATAATTATGAGGGCAGCAACCTCTACAGTCCAATTTCCAGACAAACGCTGCCAAGAACCATTTTAAATTACAGATAAACCCTGAAATCCACAGTTAAGAAATGGGGGGAAAAAAAACAATATGTAGTGTACTTATAATTTAATACTAGAGTATTAAACTGCGCCTTTATCTCAATGTTACAAACTTGATGAAATTCAGTTTGTGATCTTTAATTCACTCGCCTGAGGCATAGTAATTCTCAGCGTGCTCTGTTGCGAAATAGCTACTAATAATTAAATAAACGAATCAGTCTTACTGTCGCTAGTTGGTGGAAGTATCCAAACAGACTGAATGTTAACGTGCTATACTCACGGCTGCCTGGAAATGAATTCCCAGCACACGACTCTCCAGCTAGCGGTCGGAGTGTCACCTTAAATTTCAGTTGGGCTCTTGAAGCACCTTGAGATCTTCGCAGATGTTCCTTTCTTCTTCGGTTGAGTTCCTCATTGCCTCTGCCTGCCATCTGCTTTTCTCCGGGAGTGTGGAGCCCGAGAGAGCCAGCTCATCCCCATCAAGATGTGCAGACATGTGCTTCACCCACTAGTTCTTGGGAGTTTTCTTACACAAAAATGTTTTGAGGGCAGAAGGACAAATGTTTACTTCAGAGAGATAACCAATCAGATTATAGAGGAGGTGGGCCCAAGCAACTAGACGTAGAGGGACCAACCAATCAGATGTCTTGGTCTTGCCTCTTCTAGTTGCTTGGATCCACCTCCTCTACAATCTGATTGGTTCTCTCTCTGAACCAATCATTTTTCCTTCTGCCCTCAGAACATTTTTGTGTAAGTAAAACTCCTACAAGCCACTAATTAACACAAAGCAATCAGCAATGCTACATAAGTCAGTTTTGCTTGTTACTGGCAGTGTATCAATGAATTTGCTTCAGTTCCGCGTTCAGACCGTGAATCAATGATACTTTATTTTGGTGTCTGTGCAAATATGACCACAGGTATATCAGAATCCATGTATAATGCATTATAGATACATTCATTATGCATTATGCAAATACCTTCATAATGCAGTATAAAGCATCCTTAATTCTTATACTGACCATTACAATGCATTATAAAGGTACCTATAGTGCATTATAGGTGAGAGCTTCATAAAGCATTCATAATGCATAATTAACATGCCTATAATGTGTTATGCCTTTTTATAAGTAGTTATAGTCATGTGAATAATACTTTATGAATGCATTATAATGCATTATGAAGGTATCTATAATGTATTATGATGACCGCTTTAAGTGAAGTGTTACCAAGAATTCTGTAGAATTCATATATTCCATTATCCTCTGCTATGAGACAGAGGTGAGAGACAAAACTTGGGGTCAGAGCACATATCAACGCTGCTTGGAAGTTTCCAGAACACTGTCTGCGTGACTGAATACTTCCTCATGTTTATGCGTTATAGCTATAGCTGAATTTGCAGACCAGCTCGTGGTCCTGCTCCAGACAATTCCAACTGATTAACAATAACATGACTGTGAAAGCCCCCCCGCAAATATTTTTTCATCCACAGAGATCGTGTCTCCCACGGTGGCCCACAGACTGGTAGAAGATTACAGCTGCCTAACATCCCTGTGAGTGAAAATCAGTCACAAACGAAATGCATGCTGGAGGAAAAGGCCAGAGGAGAGTGTGGGCACAGCTAATGAACCTCGGCTCTGACCTGGCTTCCCTTACCTGCCTAGGAGGATTATTACCTGGTGCCTCGAAGCTGGACTAGAAGATAGCTTAATTACATCGATCACAATCAAGTGATACGTGAAGTTAATTGCCTTTTTCACAAAAAAAAAAACAACAAGCCACAAAGCACCGTGGGGCTTTCAGGGGGGGGGGGACTTTCACTGCCTAGACTTTTATTGCACTGCCGTTTGTCATATTGCCATCGATATTCTGGAAGACACTACCTACCCAGCCCGTCCATAACCTTTTCACCCCCCTGCCCTCTGGAAGATGCTGCAAGGCCATAAAATCTCACACCTCAAAATTCAAAAACAGTTTCTACTCTAAAGCTGTCACTGATCTGACCCCCTTCACTGTAACCCCCCTCCCCCATAAACCCCTGACTGTCAGGCACAGAATTGTCTGATATGTGATTATGTGTCATGTTCACTACTATGTGTTTCGTGCCATACTGTGGGTTAGGTGCAATACTAAGTCTAATGATTAATACTACCTGTCATGTGCAAACCATTGTACCATGTACAAAAACTATATTTATTTACTTATTTAAACTTTGAAACGCATTATTCTATGTAGCATATTCCACTTCTTTGTAGCCTACCGCATATTTAAATTTTATTTTTAAATTTCTTAGTCTTCGTATTTGGTGTTTTTTTTTTTTTAGGTATCATCTGTTCCAGGTGATGCACTGAAAATGTCTTGTACTGAAAATGTAAAATGACCATAAAGGCATTCTATTGTATTCTATTCTATTCTATTGCCACCCCCCACCCCTCCGTGCATCTGTCCCTTTCCCTGCAACAATGGCTTAAGAATTTCACTGTTCCTCCCAACATACGTGACAATAAAACTTGAAGAGATCCGGCCAGACACTCTCGATCCCTGACTCAAAGTTATTTATCAAGGGACCATTTTGAGTGAAGCTTCAGATGGGCTTCCTCTGCTTCAGCCCCCCAAGGCCAGTAATGTTAAAGTAGCATTTTTAGGCACCGTTCGGCGCTCGAGGAGGAGGCGGCCCAGTTCATCGACTGTAAGACAACAGCCTAACTATCACAGATGCTTATTGTTGACAGAAACTATTTCCAGTCTGATTTAGTATGTAAATTATGCCCGGTGTCATTAATTATTGCAAAACCTGTTTGGGTTGGAGTGAATAAAAAATGAGGACGGGGTTGTAAACGATTTGCCGTTCACACTCAATCAAAATGAGCGGACAATTAATCTGGCTAAAATGCTCAATAGGATCGGCAAATCAGAAAACACATTAACATATTTACAAATTGTCTTTAATATATATTCATCCATCTTCTAATAGCTTATCCTGGTCAGTCATGGGGGGGGAGGGGTGTGTGTGTTGGAATCTATCCCAGACAGTGGAAGTGGGATACAGATCTCTGGCTCTAGCTAGCTGATTGCATGTCTTGGGACTGCAGGAAGACTCTGTGTCACACACGGAGAACGTGCAAACACACATACAGAGAAACGGCAAGATTCGAACCCACAACCTTGGAAGTAGCAGTATTTAATATATGTTTTTAACATTGCTGCCTAACGCACTGCGGCAGGCCAGCTCGTGAATATGACTTCCCAGTTAAACAACCTATTTGGGGTCTGCCAATGAGGTTTTATTCATGGCTTGCCGATTGGCCCGCCTCATTAAAATCCTGCGAGCCAATCATCTACATATTTGTTCTTCATGCCTTTAAACTCCTGATCTCCCTTCCACTTGTGCTTTACAAACATGAAGAAGCTTTTGCAAGAGGACATCTGTGCCTGTTAAACTAGGATGTGTGGAATCCGACATATGCCACCCCCAGTCTGTCTAGTTAAAGCCAGTGTGCTCAATTATCCCAAAACATCCCATGGTGCCTAATTGCCCTCCGCTTTAGTTTTGCCATAGTGATCTAGTGACTGCCCTTATTTTTTCCCCACAATGCTGTAATAACATTTTCCACAATATCTTATATGTCGACTGGATACCAGCAGGTTGCAGGGTAATGCACCAGTAGTATTATACTCTGTAATGGGATCTTTATGGATAACTGACTTAATAATGCAAAGGCGTTAAATGGACATCCAGCGATAATCCGGATTTTATAGTGCCGGATGTTTGCCGGCTTTCAAAACTCTCGACGCAAACAATTTGGGCCATATATTTTTAAACCACCATTGTGTGTTTCAAATTAAAACGGGATTTGCAGCAACATACAGCTGGAGCTTCACTGTTCATGGCAGCCCAGCTCTCCGGGGGGGGGGGGGTTCCAGTGTAGCAGAATGGCCTCAGCGCAAAAAAAAAAAAAAAACTTAAAAAACCCCACCAGTTTGACTGAGATAAGCGAATAATCCCGGACTGGAGAAGGCCGCGAGAGATTCCCCGGCTGACGGATCCTATCAGGGAAGCGGAAACGCGATCCGTCACTCCGGATCCGACTTTAAAGCGGCGAGGCCCAGGAACATATGATCTCGGCCCTCGGATCCGCTCAGGAGTACCGGCCCGGTAACCCCGCGAGGGCTGGACTTTACCTCAGATCCGGTAATAATGCAAAGCGCTGCCTGCATTGCTGTGGCGTGGAGGGAGCGTAAACGGGGGGCACCTGACAAGCCAGTGAATGACACGCAGATAAACAGAGGAGGGAAGTTCGGCTCCAGAGATTACAAATCCGCATCGTGATTTTGTTTCAGCCGACCAGCTGAGTACTCTGTGACTGTGATTTTTGATACCCAACTGGTTGGTTGAAACGAAATCTCGTGCTGGATTTGTACTTTCCGAACCTGAACTTTACACCTCTGCAAATAAAGACAAATAAGTCCTTTACGAAATCATGGGGGTATCACTATACTTAAAGCACTCATGTATAATGCATTCATAAAGTATAATACACAGGGCTATAGCCACTTATAAAAAGGCATAACACATTATAGCCATGTTCATTATGCATTATAAATGATCTATGAAGCTCTCATCTATAATGCAGTATAGATACCTTCATAATGCATTACAATGGTCAGTATAAGCCGTTATATTGTATTATGAAGGCATACAGTATATAGTGCCTTATAGATAAGAGCTTTATAGAGCATTCATAATGCATAATACACATGGCTATATTGTGTTATGCCTAGGTATAAATAGTTATAGCCGTATATATAACACTTTATGAATGCATTATAATGCATCATCAAGGTATCTATAATGCATCATGATCACTGCTTTAAGTTTTCCCATGACGTGTTATTTGCCACTTACATAGGTACATTGCTCATTTCCACACATCCCACCTTCCTCTCCTTTTAGAAACATGCACACATATGGAGAAATGGCCCGAAAGCCCGAAACGTGGAGGTTAGCTATTTATCTGGCAACCCTGAAGCATTTCTTCCAAGATGAAGAGCTTTGCTCAAAGCCCCAGTAGCAATGTGACTCTGCTCGGCACAGGATTCAAACCAGCAACCTTCCAGTCGCAGGCATGGAAGCCTAATTCACCAAGCCACAGACTGGGAGTCAAGTAGCGGAGGGGGCCACCATTAAAGACAAATCACACGTGTTCTGCAGCTTTGCAGAATATCGTTTATGTCACTGTCACAAATATATTGCTATAATCAGTAAATCATTTTCAGGCCCCATCTCAGATATGAAGCCATATCCTCTGGTCACAAATCACATCATACACAGCAGACATCACACTAAATACATTATAGCTCGCGGGTGACGTGTTGGTATCTGGAAAAACTGTGATTGTCGATGCATGTATATCAAATATAACCAGGATATTGTGTTACGATCTCCAGGTCTCATCTTGCTACTAAAAACCATATATGGCTTCAGGGAGGATCCACACCTCTTATTAGTATCCTATACATGCATTTAATTTGTCAGAATTTGACTGGTCATAAATATATTATTAAGAATTTGATTGGTGGGAATTTGACTGGTCATAATATTATTGGTCAGAATTTGATTGGTCATAATATGATTGGTCAGAATTTGATTGGTCACTAGAGAATGCTGATGCTGACACCATACATAGAGGGAGTCGGACCATATTCTAGGGGGCACATCCAGATTTATCAGCCACTGGATAAAGGAAACAGGCTGAAGAGGCCAACAGCCAGTACTGATTTGCCCGGGTCATGTCACGTCACTCAGGACACGAGCTCTCGCTGAGGGAAATGGAATTTAAACAGGCAAAGCAAGATGACACAAACCTCAGGGGCCTCTTTGATCCCCCTGCACCCTGAAGCTGGTTGCCTGTCATCGCCCACGTCCCCCGTGAAATGAAATGATGCTTCCCCCAACACCAAACCCTGACCTAAGGCCTTGACGGCAGCTGCAAGAAAAATATAAGGGGCGTTTGTGAGCCGTATACTAACTTCAGACTCACAAGAGTACATATTTAAACAAACACTGTAGCTCCGACTAACCAGCTTCAGGTCAGAGGGCAAGACTGTCATAAAATAACAACAAGACCACACCAGTATACCTTTAGACAGAAGGCATGACAACACACAGTGACATAATTCAGTCCTATGTCCCTGTGTGTAGGCCGCAATATCAAGCTCAGTCCCAAAAGTACCAATCAATGCAAAAAGCACAATTGGGTGCTTCCCCTAGTCGCCAAGGATAGTATTACACAGCAAATCTGGCACACAAACCCCTAATAATATCCTGCCCACAAGTATCGCACGCTAGGCCAATCTTTTACTATGTGACCCACTTTAATTCCTCAGAACTTACAGCAGCAGCTTATGGGCCAGCTGCAGACTACCCACGGCACGTCAAAACGGACCCCACCTTCTTCCTTTTCCGGCTTTCTAAGCACCCAACACTTTGTTGGCTTTATTGGTCCCTGGAGAGAAATAAGTATCAAAGGCATCAGCCGGCAGTGCCTTCCACTCCACCTGTCACCGCGTCCACGTTCCACCCTACCTGAGCACCTCAGAAACCAATTACCAGGCAGAGACTGAATGAAAGAACCTCAACTGCCTCACTAGGGCACCACAATCGCCGCTCATCTCGTTTTTGTGTTGCTAAATGCTACCGATCAAAGTCATTGGACATGGAAATAGATTATTTTAATCAGCACAAAGCAGTGGCGGCAATTACGTTTAAAACAGCAAGAGATAATGTGCCAAGCAGTTACGCTACGATAAAATGGACATCAGAGACTTCGAGAGAGCTACGTTCTAATGCTTGGACGTCCCTAATCCAAAGATCGATGTGCCGACAAGCCTGGGTTATTTTCATTTTTTACTCAAAGAACAAATTGAATGCAAATGATTCTGCTGAGAAACCCATAAACACAAACACCCTTGAGACTCAGAATGTAAATTATCATTAAGTATCAGCGTATATATGGTTTGATAAACATAATTAAACACGCATTAACGTTACATTGCTATTATACACGCATAAACAATAATTATAAGCTAATCAAATCAGAAACACGTTTCCTTTGTAAATTGTCCATTGACAAAGGAACTCACGTAAAATTCACCTCAGCTTAGAAGATATTTTAGCTTGACAGACCTAGTAGAGTTTCCTAAGGCATTTTGTGATTGTTTTAGCTTTGAACCATTTCCCCAACCCAATACCATAAAATATGACATCGATTACGTTCCTATTCCCGGAAGGGCTAAATCATTCCACCAACAATGACGTATTTTTAATATCCCGATGGAATTGTTTTACTAAGTGACAGCAATAAAGAGTCAATGTACCTTTTCATTGTGCCACATTGTTTTGTCTAATAAAAACTATAAATATCTAATTAGAGAATGCTCTGAGAAACCCACAGTCTGAGTTGTATTTGTCTTACATGGAATAGGTTTGTTCTATAGATCTCGGGTAAGTCGTTCCTGCGTTTCTGCTGGTTGTGTATTAATCAGT